TATGTCTACAGCTTAGCAAAACTGTACCATCCGTGTAGCTTCTAGTTCGTCCGTCAAGACACAAAATGCGATAAATAAGTTGCAAATGTAATAATTCTGTCATCATTTTTGAAAGTGCAATATGCAATGTTTTATTTTTATCTTTATTTTTTTTTTTTTTGTATAGGAGGGCCAAATAAACTAAATGTCGTTACTAAGTAAAACAAATTCTTTGCAAACATAATTTTTAAGAAACATTTTTTGACGATAACTTCCTTCTTATCTAAAAAGCGAATGTTGTTTTCTTGTTTGTGACGATGTAGCCGGTGTCTCTCATCTAACACGACATGGTAAACTTTACAACAAAACAAAAACAAACAACGCCCCTTGGATACTTAGGCACAATATTTTTTTAGAGATGAATAATGCTTCTTAGTTATTAAGCTGTGAGAAATCTACACAACATCATTTTACTCACCAAAAGGGAAAACAAATCAATAAAAACAAACACATTCTTAATGTCGCTAGGGTTGAATTTTTTGTTTCAGTACACAGTTTTTGTGTGTGCAGATGGGTCATCAGGCAATGTTTGGGATTTTTTAAAATGTTGACGTTTTAATACAGCTGTGGACACAATTAAGATCTATTAGGAGGCGGGCTTCTGATCTTGCCTGCAAGGACAAACCCAGGCTGAGAGGGATACAACATCCCATCCCAGCAGAAAGACCGAGGTTCTCGATAAATATTGTCCTCACTAGGGAATTGAACTCGGATATCATGTATGAGATAACTGCGCGGTTAACCGCTACACCATAGACATGTTTGGTATTGACGTTAAGAAATGTGGCTAGTTCATGAATTCGTATTTACATAGTATTTAGAAGTATTGATGTGTCTTTCGTATTTATCATGAAATGTAAACAAAGGCCCTTCCTCTTTTTTAAAAATTTCGTCTATCTTTTTGTTTCATTTACTCAAATAATTTTGTTAGTTCACCCATTTCATGTTTTATCTTGTTACAACAATAGTATCATTGAGCTTCCATTCATTTCTCTAATCCTGCTTTCTCCTTGCTCTACTATTTCAGATAAAACTGCTGAAAGACGGAGGCTATTCGGAGGTGATCTTAGCGGCGAGAGTTCAACAACCGAAGTTGAAGAGGGTTCTCAAGAAGTTCTTGTAGTTTGAGGATGACGACGATACCTCGAGAATGTGGAAATGGTCCTCCTTTGGACACGAGCTATCCTTCTTGCAATCCCTGGAGCACCGTAACATCGTCAGGGTGTTGGCTGCTGTTCAGTGCCCGTCCTATTTGGGCTTTGAGATGGGGTATCATCCCACGGATCTTTGCCGTGGGCTGCTTGATGTGACTTACTCCGAGGCGGAATCCAACACAAGTCAGCTCACGGACGTCATGTGCTACTTGCACGGTCAGTGCGTCATCCACGGAGATCTCAAGCTAGGGAACGTTCTCCCAGACAGAGCCGGCGTGGTCAAACTCTGTGACTTCAGTCACTCTCAGGTCATTCCCGAGGATACAGACAAGCCCGACGGGTGGAGAGGCACCGACGGTTATCTGCCACCAGAGTTATACGACAGCCAAGTTCACAATGCCTTCAAGATGGACAATTACTCCCTGGGCATCTTGCTGTGGGCTTTGTTCTACGGGACTGCTCCGCGCGACAACATTGACTATCTGTACAAAGTGGAAAACGGTTCGTTTCTCAAGCCACAACACAAACACTGTCTTCAGCGGCTTCTGGCTCTCTCCCCGACACACCGAGCAGACATTTGGGGAATTGCTGGGATTCTCAAGGACGAGGACACATCAGAACGTCGCGTGAGGCAGGGCTCTTGTGTGTTCTGTGAGCTCCCTGAGTTCTTCCGACTCTGCTCAAGCGAACCAGTCATCTCCAGACAACGGTTCTTCTGTAACGGAATGTCCAGAGAGTGCGGTCGTGTGGAATCAGTTCTTTGCCCCACCACCCCCAGACCCCCAGGCAACATCCTGCTACCTTCTTCCTCAAACGGCATATCCTGACAGCGGAGACGTCCCAACCAGTCTGGCTTCAAGTTGGCCGCCTCTCCACCATGATTTTTGAAATGTGGAGCTCAGCAATTCTTGGACATTCTCTACAACACCTTCTGGATGTTGGGTCAGGACCTCGGACTTTGGTCTATCGGACTAAGAAAGAGAGAGAGAGAGAGAAAGAGAGAGAGAGAGAGAGAGAGAGAGAGACAGAGAGAGACAGAGAGAGAGAGAGAGAGAGAGAGAGAGAACGTGTGTGTGTGTCTATGTGTGTGTG